TTTCTCAGAACTCAAGGCTATTAAAAAAAAAGAGAGAGAGAGACAGAGAGAGAGAGGGGGGATGATTACTTGGAGTGGGTGTACCTCTGTGCATCCATCAAATCTCTCTGCCCATTTGGTTCAGCTCAGGGTAGCAGGAGGCTGACCAGCCGTGGACACAATCCAAGTCCATCAAAGAGACGCAAGAGGCCGACCAGCACACATGAACGCAGTCCTACCATCAGCCCAAAACAATCAATCCAACGAGCGAAGGATCCGAACCACACAGAGTAATCAGATGCAGAGAAGCCAAAGCAGAGGTCTTGTTTTACTGTATTCAAACTGATTACTGTATCATATTATCATCAACTGTCCCTGTCAGAGACGCTGACTAATCATCTGACTCACAGAGGATGACTTGGCCCTCTGTTGTTCGTTTAGTTCAAGGACCTTTAATGAGCAGCTGGAGTGGGGAATGTCCTCGCTGAGCTAATTAGAATATTAGGAGCTGCAACTCACAGTTATTATTCATCTCAATCAGGCTAAAGTCAATTGCTGACTTGATATATAAGGTGAACGTGTTGGAGCACCAAAATAGTTTGGCAGTCCAGTTCAGGGGACCAAATTTTAGCCTAACCAAATGTATCACCTGTACGTTTTGGGAAGCTGTTGTAAAAGACAGGAAGAGAAATTTGACTGTACAATCTGACCTTTAAGGATGGATGCCATTATCTGTAATGTGCTGAGCCAGAAAATACGCAGGTAGCTGGAACATTTCAAAGACAGAAGATGCATTCGTTAATTATAAAGCGCTGACCTTTTGGATTCTGAATCCTACAGTGTTCAGCAAATCATTTTGGGACTTAAAAAAAAACAAAACAAAAAAAAACAGATTAAAGATCTTCTGATCTTTGTTTTAAATGTTTTACTTCATATATAGAACATATAATTTTTTTATTTCTCTTCATAACTGACACAGACCCATTCGGTAAATTAGAATATTATAGAAAAATCAATTTATTTCTGTAACTCCGTCACCAGGTGAAACACATCTCTTAAAGGGTCAGTATTATGTGCTTTCCAGACCATTTTATAGAACAATCAAGTAACTACTTTTCCTTAACTTGTTATAAAAATGCTATGTCAAATACGACTTTAAAAAATATTGACGTTGTAATTTAGTACTTTGAAATTGGGCCTCTGCCTCTTTAAAAACGCCTGCTCTTTCTGAAACTCCGCCTTTAGGAAGCCATCTCAACATCACTCCTCTAAAACCCTCTAGTAACATTTTTACCTGCGTTTCACTGAGAATTAAGTTCCACCAGGTGTTTGCTAATTGCTGCTAGCTAGTCTGCAGGAGTTGAGTGGAGGAGAAATGGAGGATGGATGCTCTGAAACTCAGAAACTTAGAAACCAAGGAGGAACTGCGCCTCAAAGGCGGAGCTTAGTCCACCCAGACGTTTACCACAACCAAATGGTTGCCACGGGAGATGATTGGATTTCTCAAACATGCTTGAAAGAATCAAGCCAACACTCAAGGTGTGTTTTTGGTGAGGGAATATAACATAACATGGTGTAAAGCTAAAAGAAAAAAATGTGAATTTGACATAATACTGCCTCTTTAATCATCGTGATTACAATTTTACATTAGACCAAAAAGAGAAATGTGGGCTTAATGAAAAGATTAACAAATTCAAAAGGTTATTTTCAAATGGTGTTTTTGAATCTGACAGAGACTCCGTTTTTAAGAATCCTGCCCTTCTTGCAGAGTGCGTTAAGCACTTTTTAAAAACTGGAGTGGAAAATAGTTCTTAAACTTTTAAACTCCAAGGAAATGAAAAAAAAAAAAACCACGTCACCCAAAATGGCTGTTAAATCAGGGAGGCTTGTTAGTTCCATCCTCTTTTGCAACTTCTGCGGGCACATTCTTTCTCCTGTGAGCGTCTGAAACATTCACACTTATTACAGTCACAACCTTCTACCTTTTTTGTCTCGTGTTCCACTTATTACAGCCCCACCGCATAAAGGACGCATCAGTGACAGAACAGAGGAGCCAAGAGGAAAAACACTCCGACAGACGGTGTGGAGAAAAATAATAAAATGTGTCATTTTCCCTTTTTTTTTCTTTTCCCCATGAAAGGCTGTGAAAAAATGTGCTTATGTTTTTGATGTATTCATGTTCCATCAAGTTAGAAAAGGATTCCAGCAACTTTTAAAGCATTTTATTCGTTTTTTCTTTCAAAGCATTATGTAAAACCCAGCCTTTTATGCTTCCACCAAGCTTTCACACATCCATTTCATGGAGAGCTGGGCTCTCTCACTGCAATCACAAAGCGTCCTTTTCGATTGTTTCATGGTTTCACTGAGTTCTTCTTTTCACTGTACCTGTGATGTGGCGTTATCTCTTTCTTTTATTTATGAACAACTGAATCACACACATTCTGTATGTCACAGAGGAATTTCTAGACGCAGAAAACTTTCTGCTTACGGATTCTCACTGGCATAATGCAGATTATGGCTGTTGCATAAATCCACCTGGAGATGAAAACTTGACCTTTCATCTCCAGACTCTCTGCTTTTCTGCCCATTTCAGTTAAACGACAGAACAAAGGTTAATATCCTCTATTCTTATAGAAAAAGAGAAATTGCCAAATATTACACTATAAAACCATATTAAATAAATAAGAATAAATTTCCAAATTTAAAGTGTTTGCTTTATTGGTTTAACATGATACTTTAGTACTAAATATCATGTTTTCATTAGTTATAAGCAGTAAATGGTCCTAATTAACAAAATAAAGCCTTGGCAATGAGAGTTTGTGTTATTAATTTATGTAAATTGTTTCACGGAGTTACTGAAATAAATTGACTTTTTCAATAATATTCTAATTTACTGTATACTACCGCATATATAGCTAAAACCCACATTTCCATTACAATTGGTGCGCAAAACTTTCAGTAATTTTGAAAAAAAAAAAAAAAAGGTTTCTCCGCTAAATAAGAAACATAATTAAAATCACATGTGAATAAGTTTGTTCACATAAGTCACTAAAAAACATCCTATCTCTTCATCCTCCAGCTACTTCCTGTCTTCTTCTTCTTCCTGTTTTGCACCAGTGGCAACATCCGGTCGTTGATCACATGACTCCCATGATGCCAAAAAAGTGTTTCCTTTACTCTTTTGTGAAAATAGACCAATTTTGATGTGGTGAAAAAAAACAACTCATCCTGTCTCTAAAACACTTTATCAAAAAAAAAAAAACAGAAGTTTTTTTTTTTATTTGCGTGTGTCCGTTAAGCAAATTAATCTTTACATTTCAAATTGTGTGATCATATAACCATTGGAAACACAGCTAGTGTGTTGTGGGGTTGCTAGTATAGATTGATTATTAATTGTGATGTTTTCTCTCTATATGTTTGTAATGTGTTAAGAACGGCTTAGCCGCAGGACGAGAAAGAAAATGTGAAACAGAAGTTCACATTTAGCTTCTTGCTGGATGTTGATGGTGAATTACTGGCAACACAACTGGAAGGGGCTGGAAATAACAAAGTGGTCATTTACCCAGTTCCTCTTCATAGACTCTGACGTTGATTATCTGGAATCCTCTGAAGTTTAACAGAGGAAGAAAAGGAAATGTCGGGTTTACAAGGGACTGTTTCACCTACAGGGCCACAAAGAGGAGGATGTGCTTCACACTGGAAACCAAGGATGGTGACATAGATAAGCAGCTGGTTCTTACTCGCCTCTACAACGATATCAGATCTCACCACGAGGCCGGTGAATGATCTTTTTATCCATGAACCAAAGTTCAGGGGTCGGGTAAACAGTCTAGCTGAGCAACAAAAGGGCGATGAGGCAGAGCAAATCCAAAATCCATGAAGCTGTAATCAATATCCAGGTGCTTGAAGCACAAGCAGAGAGACTCTCAGAGAGAGCAGGCAGAGGACATCAAACCAGGCAGATACACGAACGGGATAACAGACATGAACGCTGGAAGGCCGAGAGGACGGCTGACAATCTGACACTGAGTGAGTGCAGAGCAGGAGATGATGGAACGAGGCGCATCAGTCAGTAGAGGACTGGAGCAGCACCAGACTCAACTAAGTCTGTCAGTAATTTCCAGTCTCAATCATTTTTGTTTGCAGAATTCATAAACTATTTCATTAGTGGGTTTTGTGGGTTTTGTGGTTTCCATTTTGTTTGTTGTTTTTGGTTTTGCTTCATTTTGGAAGTTTAAGATGTCATTGTTAAGTTCCATTGTTCAGGGTTCTTTACTAAATTTAAGTTTGTAGGTTTTTGAGAGAGGAAACTTGGATTAGTTGGAAAAGTGAAGATCGTGACAATAACCGCAATAATATGAAATTTCCTCTTTAATTAAGATTGCCGTTGTGAAGGACATAATGGATAAGTAAAGAATTCAACTTCAGATGAAATCAACCTTTAGTAACTAGTGAGAGTGGTGGAGATATAGAAATAAGCCATTTAAGTGACTCATCTTTTATTATTATTATTTTTATTTATTTTTTTTGTATGTGTCCCGTTTGGTGGTGTGGCACTCCCAAATGTTGTCCGAGTATCAAGGTGAGGCTCAACATGTTTACTTTCACAAGTGGAGTATCACGACTTTCACCTTTAAGCTCCACTTGATATCCACAGAAATGTTACACAGAAATTTCTTTGGGTTTGCTTCAAATATAAATTATGTGTATAGATGAAGAAGAAAGGGAAAAAAAACAGAGAAAGGTAGGGAAAAGGTTTAGATGTCTGCCTCTAAACCTGCAGAAAGAGAGAAAACAAAACCGAAACACTGCAACAACGAACACATGCATATAACAGAACATCATTAGAAAGTACACGGTACAAGATTTATTTCATGCCAACTGCAGCCCAGCTGAGTGTGTATCTGACAAACACCTGAATCTAAACGTGTGTATATGAGTGTGTATGAGTGTGTGTGCTCCTCTGCTGATCTCCATGCAGATATTCACAACTTACAATCCTTCAGGCTTTTTTTTTTTCTTTTCCTTTTGCATTTCATTTACACTCCAGATGCTAAATCATGGTTCCAGTCCTCTGTGACTGCCTGTGACTTTTTGTAGCTCAAAAGCCGCTTCATGGCACTCCAGAGCTCACAGGCCAATCAAAGCCTTCGTTTATTTTTTGGGTTTTTTTCTCACAATGTCACGAGAAGAAGACGTCAATCTGGCAGCCAGTCGAGGTGAGAGCCTATAAAAAGCACTGGCACAGTAACACAGTTGTCAAGATATGCATAGTCTACATCTGGGGGTCCTTCAGGAACGGAGCCTCTGGAGGGATGAGAAGATGGAAATAGCACTTGTGAACAGAACTTGAACTGCATTAAAACAGTGCAATCTCGCACTTTCACACTCGCACTAACGTGACTATCAGCAACGAGATCGACTTTTTTTTCCCCTCCTTCTCAGGCAGACTCATTTCCCCAGCGTGAGAGTCATCTGCGTTTGCCTGTACGCAATCACTCGCCGGCTTGTTCTCGGCCGTCTTTTCTTCGTCTCCCATCTGTTTTGCTTCTTTTTGGGCCTCTGCTGTACTTCCACGCACATGGCTCCACAGCTCTCAATAACCCAGGGATTCGGTAAAACAGAGCGCTTTATTGAGAGCTGCAGAATGCTCCCGTTGAGCCAATTTCTGCTTCAGTCGAGTAAATTGAGGAGAGCAGGAGTGACGAATTGAAGTGTTTATTGATCTCCCAGTATTACTTAAATGTGAAGTCATTAGAAGTGTGACAGTACACACTTGTATGGTGAAAGTAAGCACACATTACAAAGTACTTTGGGCCATACTCTTTCCATTGATGGATTGAACAGAGCTCTGCGAGACGTTCAAAGCTTGAGGAATCTATTTACAGCCTAATCCCACTTTAAACTTCTCCACAACTTTCTCTCTAACCTGTCTGGCGTGTTTCTTGGACTTCATGATGCCAATATCCTCTTAACAAACCTCTGAGGCTGACACAGAGCAGCCGGATTGATAGAGAGATTAGATTACACACAGGTGGACTGTGATTACCAATTAGCAAACATCAGGCAACTTCTGAAGACAAGAAGAGAAAAGGGGGCTGAATACTTCTGTATTTCTTGAATACAGTAACCCTGAATCCTCCCTGACTCCATACTCTACGTCGCCATCCCACCTCCTGCCCCAAAGGTTGCCAGGGAACGGCGCCTCCTCATGATTGCGTGGGAGTACGAACAGACAAGTGGATAGGTGGCCAGAGGAAAGGGAAGTGAGTCTTAGGTAGAAGACGAAAAGTCTTCAGCACTCTACTTGTTACTCAGATCAGCTTTTTAATCTTTTTTCCCCGCAGTCCCGGTCGGTAGTCAGACACAGTGGGAGCCCAATTTGATTTTCGCCGTTGCTACAAAAACTCTCGTCTTTGTTCCCATCGTTCCTCAAATGGCACCGCGGAATGGATGTCTCTGCTCTGGAGATTTCCGTGTGTCACAGCAAATTGATGTATAAAGTGTGTAGCAAAGTTTCCCCAAAGCACAAACATTTTGAAACGATACACGTGATCTCACATGAAGGTTTTAAAATGTGTGATTCTTAATACCAAAACTGTATTCTAAACAAATTATAAATATAAAACAGTGGAAATGTAGAGTAGAACAATGAAACTACTGCCTGGAAAAGCAACTTTCACTCTATTAAAACCAAGCATGCTTCTTCAAGAACCTTTTCCTCTTGACACCTACTTGACTCACGAAACAGCTCACTATAACGGCGTCGTGAATGCCTTCAGTGGTTCGACCGAGTCTGATATCATTACTTTTGTTGCAGCAGTCTGGAGGGCTGAAATACGAATCCTTTTACACCGACAGAAGCCCTTCTGCCTCTGGCAAAGAGGAAGAAGCAACCAGATGTAATATATTCTGAGCTGCCAGTCGACAAAGTGTTTTTGATGTAACATGATTTCTCCTGACTTGGATGTATGTTTTCAAATAACAGCAGCATGGAAAAAGATTTTATTTACTTGTGTTGAACTACAAGCAATGATAGGATTTGTGCACTTTCATTTTACTCCACTGATAATATCTATTGTATTTTCCTGCAAGAAGGGTTCTGGTTTGCACTTTGAAGCTTTCTAACTTGTGTATCTTTTTTTATCTTTATTCTTCTTTCGTTATGACTTTAGAAAGGATTCCACTTGTCATGGACTTGAGGGTGTGTACTGCATAGTAGCTGCTGCCCAAACGGTCAATAAATGCACATACAATACATATAAACAGATAGAAACATGGACTGCATACACAACAGTTTAAAATCAACAACAGAACAGGCAGGAGACAGAAACTCCTGAAAATATGGCATCCCCGCTGGTTTCCGTTTACCTACGAGTTAATGCTAATGCTAATGTTAGTGGCTACAGGAAGTTATGAAACTTGACAGTGGGGTGTGAACTGTGAATAGCTCATAAACTTGGGATCCTCTCCAAAAACACTTAGAACTCCATATATTAATCGTCCAAACACAGAATATACTGCATTAATGAACACAGTGGAAGCCATCTTGGATCTACAGTGGGAGCTAACGCCTACAGTCTTCCATTTCTGTACTTTTTTTGTTCAGCCATTCAGCACCAACGAAAGTAAACGACACTCCTGGATTGGATGCTTTGCTAATCCTATGGCTAATAGCGTGTCAGTTAGCATCGCAGCCAGCTATTGAAGCTGTATTTCCTTTTGAATATTTCATATACGGTCTTCTAAAAAAATTCACTAATATTCCTTAAATAATTTGGAGTTACGCCCGCTGTATTCTTAAATTTTACTCTGCTTTGACAAGCTTGTGCAGTTGTTCGTGGGCCGTTTTCTTGCTATACGTGGAAATGATTTAGGTTCATAATTATAGCAGCGATTTTGAGCTGGATCGATATTTTAAAGGTCTGTGTTCTGCTGAACCCTTTCTAGCTGCTGTGTTGGCTCAGACAGCCTTTATACTGCAAAACAACAAGCAGACACTCTGTCACCTGATGCAAGCATCAAATTTCACAGGTAAAGATCTTGGAAACGTATGCAGGTAGTTATTGAGTGTTTATCACAACTTCCTGTAAGACTAATAAAACAACTGGCTTTCATTTGTTTCTTTTAGCTTGTATTGAATTAAGGAAACAATTAGAGACAGTCTGGACTGTAAACCAAAATATGTATTGCAGTCTGACTCTACACAGAACCTTTCATTGTGATCAATACGACTTGAAAACCTCTTAGTCTCATCATAGAGACGCATGGTTTTTTATTTTAGTTATAAATCAGTTGTTATAAAGTCATCTGAAAGTGCGTCTGTCTGTCTGTGCGTCTGTGCTTGCTTGATGCTCTGGAGGCCCCCTGGTGGTGTGGATGATCTAAGCAGCTGCTTAAGCTTCCATAGTTCGTTTTAGCATAGTTTTAATATCGTTTTATGTTTTGATTTTGTTCTAATGACAATATTGTATTTGAGTTTTATTTATTTTTGTTTTTTGTTGTTTTTATAAGTTTTAATATTTTTAAGTATTGAGCACCAGCCCCTTTTGAATAATGTTATGTTTATATTTATTGTTGTCTTGATGTAAAGTTTCCTGTCTGGCAATAGATTTGACTCACCTTACTGTACCTAAATCTTCCTAGTGGTATAAATAAAGTTGGTTGATTAATTGAACTCTCGCATCCCTTATTGGACCGGCTCTATGGCAGTCTAACTTAACTTAAGCTTTATTGGTGTTGGTCTGTGTGTATATATAAGTAGTTTAAAGATCACAATGCTTCCTGTGTAAATTATGAATCTATTCCCCAGCAAACAGCAGCAGGATCACAAAGTTCAAGACTCCTCCAAAGCTACACTAATTAGCAAGACACATCTTCTACGTTTCATCAATACACCACCCAAAGTCTACTGGTTACCAGGCAACCAGATTAGCAAACTCCAAGAAGTTGAGGTCCAAAACCACACACTATAAAAAAAAAAAAAATCAGCAAATCACAAACATGACTGATTTCAGCTCAATCGATAACCAAACCTGAGGGCGCGCGAATGAAGGATGTGTTCATTTAGAGCTGTAGCTGAGCGCGTGGCGACCGAAGAAGGGAGAGAGGGATCGTTTCTAATGTTGGATGGATGCAGCAAATATGATGGTAATGCAGCTGAGCTGCTCAGCTAATGTGTGTTAAGTTTAACGTCAGTACTATTGGCAAGGTGTTTGATTGTTTCTCATGACTCAAGACAGGCTGTTTGTTTCAAGCATAATCATGTTTTCACTTGTAGGCAGGGCCGGTCCAAGCCTTTTTGGGGTCCTAAGCAGCTTTTTTTTTTTTTTTGGCTCTCCCATACCAACACATCATCAACACCAGATGATTTAGAATTCTTAATTCCTAATCTACTCTGCGTGTGTAACACACCTACTATCATTAGCATCATTTGTAATTAGCATAGTTTAATATTCAGACGTCATTCATACCTTTGCATGTTTATATAAGAAATTATTGGAAAGTCTTTGGGAACTGTGTTTCACTTCATGTAATCTGATGTCTGCGTTCCAGTCTCTGTTCTGTAAAACTCAGGTTCAGATGGAATATGTTTGAACTTTACAAACAAAAGAGAAGTTCTTTGAGGAACATCAGCAACAAGCTGCGGCTCTCTGGCACTTCCAGCATCATTAGCATTTTGTACTTGAAACTACACGCACTTGAAAATGAGCCTCTAAATGAAAGAGAATGAAAACCAGTTAAATCCTTTCCTTTCTGAGGTTTTTTTTTGGCTTAAAAACATTTTGATTGGGTGTTTGAGCAGCATAATTAAAGCATGAATTTCTCTCTTCATTTGCTAAGTTCTTTGTATAAATTTGGATTTTTTTGTGTGTGTATTCTGCTGACAGCGGTAATGAACATATGCAATCACTGTAATTAACTCTGAATCTCTTCCTCGGGGCGTTCTGCCTACTTTCTTTCTCGTTTTGCTCGTGCTGTAGCCTCTGATGTAACATTTATTATATTTGCCAAAAAACCTAATGGCTGCGCAACAGAAAACATGACATATGCTTCTACAGTAATCATAAAAACAAAAGAGTTCCTCACTATCTTTGCTCAATGGCACCATTATCTCTCTCCTAATTTGTGCCTTTTGTGTCTTAAACCTCTACAGATTTTGTTTTCACAGTGACTCTCTGACATCTTCACACCCATAAATTACATGCTGACTGTGAAATAAAAAAATGGGACGATGAGGAAATATCGACCTTACCATTTCCCACCATCAATGTAACTTGCTATCTTTTATATTGCTGCAAAAGTATGGACACAATTCATCTGATTCTGTGTAAAAAGCCTTTGGATTTATTTTTAGCTTCCAGCCTTATTGAGCCGATATCTCCCATTCCTTTCACCAAAACGATGGCTTGCAGAAACGTTGCAAAGCATTGAATGAAGAAAAAAAATGTGTTTGATCAAAACACGATGCCCACAATGTCCAAACACCAGTTAGCGTCGACCCTGACCCTCTCTGGACTGCTGGGAAACCGAAATGGGGGATATTATTTTCTGTCATTGCAACAAGTCCAAACATGCATCCTAACCAGCGAAGGAGCAGCATCAGAAGCAGAAGAAAACATTCTGAGAGTTGTTAAGGAAGAATATCTAAATTAGTTAACTTTGGAAAAAGATTGTCTCTCTCTCTTCCTCTTAGATCCCAGGTCCTCCCGGCGAGCCAAGTGTGGCCACAAGGAAAACAATAATGCGTGTTGACGTCACAGAATTACAGAGTTTAATCCAATATAAGACAATGCATAAACTTACAAGTAAGACAATGCACAAACTTACACCAGAAACTGCAGAACAACAGAAACATACATTCATTACCTGAGACAAAAATAGGAAAAGAAAAGCAAAGACGCGCCTTTGGAGAGAGCTGGTGCAAAAAGGCAAAAAATTGGCAGCTATCTGAATTATTACTCCTGGGCACGAACTTTTATAATGTAGGCGTGTTTTTCCTCTTTAATATATTCAAATAAGGCGTACCTCTGCTTGACCAACTGGAAGCTATCTTGGACACTCAGAAAAACTTAGAACTCCCCCTAATTTATGGCAAAGATCAAAGGCCATTTGCTCTTTTGTTTAACAAAAAGAGCGGAGAGCTTGTCCTAGCCTCCTGCAGTTCTAAGGCCATCTGGGCAAAGAAAAACACAAGAAAAGTATTTCACAGATAGCTGTGAAATCTAGAGTCTCTCCCGCTATCTCTCCTTACATAGATTCTCAGGAACAAACTTAAATTCAGTAATTTGGTTCAGGGAAAGGTTATCTTCACAAACCCAGTTTTGCTCTTCTGCAC